TTTTGTAATTCATATATGTCTGTCAGAAGCAAAGGTATACCTATCAAAACCTCTTGGCCCAAACATACTATCTCAGAAATCTTCTCTTCATATACGCTCATACTGTGTCTGTACACTGCTATTTAATAAAGAAAATTTATATTTTACAAGATCATTCCCACATAACAATTGGTAAGGATCTTATCCAGGGGCCACCATGAACAAATGCATAAAGCAAAACAAATGATCCCAACACTTCCTAAAATTCACACTAACTTAAAAATATCTAAAGGACTGTCAATTTTCTTAACTACATTGTGTGATTTTGCTAATTACCTTCTTTTTAGGCATCTTTATCAACTTTAAAAATCTCCAAATATTTTCACCAAATACATGGTTAAACATATTAAACATACACCAGTATGTTTAACCATACAGTTTAAACATACAGTATTAAACATACAACAGTATATTTACTGGTATCACAGAATACTCTGAGTTGGAAGAGATGCATGAGGATTATCATGTCCACCTGTTAAGTGAATGGCCCATACAGGGATTGAATCAGTGACCTTGGCGTTATGAGCACCCTGCTCTAACCAACTGTGTTGTAATTAAATACAAAGAATATTTGAACCAAATTGAGAGTGATATATTTTTTTATGAATAAGAAATTACTTCATCTTGAAATGTTCCAGTGCCTTTTCAGATGCTCCTACCAAATTCATAAGCTTTTTGCACTAAAGATACTGCTTAAAACTAAGAGCTATATAAACTCAAAAGTACAGCCTGAGATTAAAACTTTTATTTACATCATCTTTAACTGTCCAGATGTAATCAGAATTTGTATAGGAGTGACAGAAATTTAAAAATTAGGAAAAGGACCACAAATGGAAGGATCACTTTTGCCATCCTTTACACAACACCAGTCATGATCACATCACAGTCACTATTGCTGTAGTAATAAGTTTTGTTTTCAGGAATTTGAGGTTCAGAGGTCCATGCAAATTTTGACATATCCATCCCCTTCTTGTGCTTTTTTTGTATATTTAGTTGACATAGATTAACCTGTTGAGTGTACAAGGAAAGATATTTAAGCTTGTCTCTTCATACACTTGCCTAATTTGTATGTTCAGTTGTGAGAACTCTGCATGCAAAGAAGCTGCATATGTGGAGCATTTCAACATTCTGAAAAATTAAGTCCTTAATGAAGGATATATGATGTTGAACCTCCATAAAACTCACAGGTGAGGTTAGAAAACACTGCATTAGCAAGAGTATATTTCATCAGATGGAGAGAGATTATTTTACCTCGCTGTCACATCAAAGAATAATTACCATCTTAAATAAGGTAACCATTTACAAGTGTTTTCTCTCTTAGCAAGTTCAGGGTGCTGAATTTGGCAAGCAAGGTACAATCTTTTCCATTAGGCTTATTCATCTGGGCACAATGTACAGTTTAACTTTGTGAGGTTTTATGTGAAGTAGTAAGAAATGCATTCACTTAAAATGCCTGAAGCTGGAACACAGCAAAAACAGTTTAGATACTTACAACTTTCATAATGGATTTTTCCCATGCTATTGATTTCTGTAACTGCTGAATGCACAGAGCTACCTGGGCAGCACTGCGTGCTTCTGACAGTGCCCTTCTCCACACCCTTAGCCCTGGAGCAATATCCTCTTCAGTTCTGCATTAAAATACAGGCAAATTAAGTAGGTCACACCTGTGTTTGTTCATGTTTAAATGTGGGACAATCATTATCACACTGAAAGCCAAGCAATGACAAAACGTACACAGCCAATAAGTATAAGGTTTAAGCAACTAAATTTCATGTACTGCACAGACTGTGGCTACGTGCCTCAAAGCTTAGTCACAACCAGTTAAATGTAAGATAACTTTGCAAGATTATTAACAAACATAACAAAAAAATTCTTTACAAAGCACCATGCAGAATAAGATGATCCATATGGATCACAGACATACAAGAAAGTACATAGATAACAGGCAATAAGAAAATAGGCTCCAATTAGCAAAGAAGCACAATAATTTTTCAAGTTAATCTCAATAACCTACCCGTCACCATCACCACTAATAGATGGTGCAGGAGCAGGGACAGTAACTGTGCCCACATTATCCAGTTTGATCTGAATGGTGGTACTTAAGGGGCTCTTCAGATACCTTCGCTCTATGTTCCGCTCCAAGTCAGCGAGCCTGGTTACAGCTATATCTAGAGGGTTGTCACTCCTCCGCTCTAGAGAGCTGGCATTGCCTTCTCCGCCTCCAGCACAATCTCCATCGTGCTTCTTGTGCAATCTAGTAATTGACTTATGTTCACGATATACCAAGTCGTCTCTCTCTGATGCAGGTTCAGGACACAGCCAACCCTATGTCAATAGAAAGGTTTGGGCATTTATTGGTTGCTGTTAACTCAGTGTGCAATCAGAGGAATTGTTTTATGGACTCAAACTAAGTAATCGAAGCGCTGTTTCCAGTAGATCTTGGTTACTTGTAATCCATCTGTAGAGACATTTTCCAAAATATCCAGAGAACTAAAATAATTAATCAAGAAATACAGGCATTACTGGACTTTCTGAAGGGACCTTTCTGCAACAGTCTGCATTCTTATCCCCTTGTGAATTATCCTGTTCTATTGGCTGAAACATCAGAACAGGTCTACTTGTTCAGTAGGCTCAGGAGGCAGTATCAGAACACAGGAAATTAACATCCATCTCATGCCAAAAACTAGAGCCCAAACGCTGCACCTGTACTATAACCAAACATAAGCAATTTGATAACCTTATACCCACCTTGGAAAAATTCAAAAATCCAGAGTGTTCTTAACTGTATCACATTCATAACCATTACATGTTCTCCATGGCTCTACAATACTCAAGCATATTATTCTGATGCACTTGTAAGCATTTCTGAAAGCATTAACAGCAACAATCACACAAACCAGGCAGAACTGTGGCAAATGCCCCAAGAGTTAAGCAGTCTCTGTGGAATGTGGTCTTTGCATTCAGAGAAAGTTAGCAAAATGTACACAAACTGCACTGTAGGAGAACATTCTCCAGGAACTGCCATTCTGAGCATCTTCAGCTGAAGACTGAACTGCAATAAAATGTTTCAAACACAAATCTCCATGATACTGCACAGTGTATTTGTTTAATTCATTGGCAATTAGGATGGAATAAGAAGGCACTTACCAATATACAAAGACTGCTATCTGCTTTAAATTCATACCACTTATTTTAAAGAGACATTTTACTGAAAGTTGGTTTTACCTTAACTTGTAAACTAGCTGATGCAACTCTCCTCTCTAGATCTTCCACCTGCTGAAGAATAGCAAGATCCATCTCCATAGCTTGTTCTTCTACTGACCAGTTTTCCACAACATCCCGAGTTACCTGGTTATCTTCATTTTCATTGATATCAATAATTGCAACTGTATTTGAGAATCACATTTTTATTATTTTAATTAACATTACAACTGCACTGGTAAATTCAAGCTGTTTTACCCGTCACTCCAGTCAAATGCTGAAGAACTGTGAAAGTACACTATTCTTAAAATATCCAATATGGACAACAAATTCTGTATGCTTTCAAACTTGCAATTTAAGAGCAATAAGGGGAAGGAGATGCCAAGTGTTATAGACATGGAAAAAGCTTCAGAAGGTTACCAGAGCTTAAGAAGGTTGTATCATTAGAACTATTTACATTACATGGAATTTCTCTAATCCACTAACTTTACAGAGCAAGGCTGGTGAAAATGCAGCTACAGATGATAAGACCTTTATCTTTTTTCTCCAACCATTACTTTAACTCTCCTGCTAAACATGCCCCAGGAGAGCTCTATGTCCATTGCCTGGTGCCCCAACACCATGTGTAACATAAATATCAACTACATACCATCCTTGTTTTTGATGCAGGCCAGAGTGATATAATCCATGTGTTTCTGTATTTGCTTTTGTAAGGCCTTTTCTCTTATTCCCCTGAGATGCAGCACTTTAAGCAAAGATTTTAGGTCTTCTGGATCAGTAATCCTCCACCACCCATACTGCATTTCTAAATCAAGACAAGCATATAAACACTTTGCAGGTCCTTTATGTGATAACACATGATCAGATTAGAAAATCAATAGGCAAATTATTTTAAAAAATTGTAACATGATAGAAGCACTGCTGAAATTATAATCGTACTGTTGCACTACTGTTGCATACTTACCTTCTGGTATAGGCTTTGGGTTAGGATAATCTACAGGCTTGGCTACTTCAGCTGCTGTAGAAGGGGCACAAGTTATTTTTTCAGCTTGGAGTGCTGGTGATTCACTTTTACTTGCAGGAACACTAGATGCCAAGAACGAGTTACCATTCACTTCTGATAATCCCAGCCCGGATCCAAGAGCAGGTAAAGGAGATGGAAATGGAACATTTGAAGTAAGAACTCCTGTAGGCCATCCACAAAACTGAAGTCCCATTATAGGTAGTCCTGTCTTCATCTGCTAAAAAGCACAACTACCATTACTATAACCAAGAAACCTGAATTGTGATTAGGATGCTATTAGTCAAACAATACTCAAAACACAAAGAAAGCCTTTATTCAATACTTCAGTTAGGTTCAGGAAAACTAATATAACACTGACATGTAATACTTATTAGGGCCCAGTTAACGCTAAAAAACAATAGCTTCTACAGGTAGGGTTTGGTATGTTACACTTCCAAAAACTAGCTTGTATTTACTTGCTTTTCATTTAATACCAGTAGCCAACAACCCTAAAAGCCACATTAATTACTGAAAGACATGTACAAAATATCATACATTGGTTTACTTGATACATTATAATCTAGTATTACAAAACTTCCGTATTTAGTTACTAACATTTAGAAAAAGAAAAAAAATAAAGATATAATATGCAGATATAATGATTGCAGGTCTGTGAAATAATTTGTATAAACAGACATCCTGCCCAAATAAAGTCTGCAAGTTCAAGCTATTCAAAAATTAATTAATTTACCTGCAGCGGTGACAATGCAAAAGGACTTAATCCCATGGAACTCTGTGCAGAGGTTGAGCCCAGAAGAGGAGATGGAACAGGTGATGGTGAGTTTGATGGTGGATGTGATTGGGGAGTGAGTGGAGCTGTAGTAGCTGGTGTGTCCACATGGGTGACCGAGGTGTCATCACAGGGCACGCGCGGTAACAGGCTGAACCACTGCCTGCTTTTCTCAGTAAGAGTCTTTAACAACTGGTCATTTGGAATTAGTGGAGAACTGTAAAACTTTCCTGTCCCACTGGCATTAGGACTGAAAAGACTATTAGACTCAGACTTCTCAATGGAGCTTTGTGATGCAGAGGGTTGCAGACTGCAGAGAGAGTTTTTTGAGTTACCTGGGTAAGATAATGTGCAGCCATTTGCTGCACTGCCATTAGGTTTTGGGGACATAGTGTCAGACTCAGGTGGCATTTTTGCTACCTCTAACAGTTTGCTTAGTTTTGAAAATGACCCAGGCTTTTGTAAAAAAAGGTTAGTGCTGTCCTTTTCTTTCAGATTTTCCTTTTGCTCACAGTGAGTTGTAGCTAAGCAATGCAATTTTTCTTCTGTTTCAAATTCTTCTTCTTTGATATGCATATTTTCTTCCTTTTTTAACTTCTCTTTTTCTTTTGCAATTTCTTCTAGACCTAAAAAGATGCAAGAAGCACAGATTGCCTGTAACAGATCAACTATTTTATGAACTTTTTATAATCAAAGTCTGAAAAATAACTTCATTTTTGGCTCAACACATGTTAGATTCCCATGTCTTTGCTGTTGTTGCTGTTAATGAAATCCCTTCTCATTTTACAGCACACTTTGCAGAAGGAAACAAGTTTCTAGGCATGCCGATCTAGACACTACTAAACACCTCTAGGAAAAATCACCTCAACATGGCTAACACACTACTGGATTCACACATCTTAAGCAGTTGCCAGTGCAAAATCTCTGAAAAGGACAAATTTTTGCCAGCTTTCGTTTTGCAGGACTCCGCATGCCTCATTGAGAAGCTTCTCTGGTGATATCAAGAGAGTGCCATGTTTACAGCCGTACATTTATTTTTGCAACTGATCATTTCATTAAACACACAGACAATTATGAAACAGAACCAAAATTCCTGTTACAATATCAAACATTCCCCAAATACCAAAATTACATTAAACATTTTACTTCTTTCAATAAAAATCATTAACAACTTTAACTGTGCAACAGTATCATCAGTCTATGAAGTTTAATATTCTTTCAAGAGCTACCCAGCATGACTGAAACTCTCCACACAACTAAGCAGACAGCTAACATCTAAGCAATTTAAAGTATAGCAAGCAGAAGCTGATTAAAAAACCCCCAAGGTTCTTTAAACATAGGAAGTGCAAAAGATCTGAAGATCTAGCTTTTATGAAAGGAAAATACATTTTTTTCTCTTCTTTGCACTACTAGTCTTTCTTAACCATTTCTCTTCTACCCTTACACTGACTCCTATTTCAGACAAAAAGTCTTTAAAAGTATAAAATGCTTCTAAATAGAGAACAGTTAGCATAAGGGGAAGGAGGTAGAAAATCCAACTCCTTATTTTATGTTCATCAGCTACTGCAGTCAGAAATAAACACATGGCTTACAGTTCATGGCAAGCACTCTACAAATATTTACTTGCTCCTGAAAAACTGTAATTTCTACAAAGTACATTCCCTCCTATTAAAACTCCAAAATGTGTTCACAGTTATGGTCTGTATCAAGATATAAACAATTTAAGTATCAGCATAAACATGAAAGTGACTGCACAAAAGGGATAGAGAAGTTTTTTTTAATGGACAGACTATTCAAGACTTTATGTCTCCTATTTCCAAGGTTTAGGGTTAGGGTTATGGAATTAGAAATAGATAAACTATAGAATTTACATAAAGAGGGCAAACTAAGAGCCGATGGGAAGAGGAGGTAGGTGAGAACTTTCATTAAGACAACATTAAAAACAGAGGTTTGCCCTACAGCTCTTGGAACAAACTTTTGTGTGGGTTGGTTTGTGTGTGTTTTTTTACTATTTTAAGACAGGTAAGTATATGTAAACTGTTTTCTTTGTGTACCACTTCCAAAGCCTTTGGGAATTCATGTGGTTAAAATACAATGAAATACAGCAAACCAAAGAAATGCAAGCAGTACATTCTGTATGCAGCTACTTGTGCAAAATTGCTCCTAACACAGAGCGTAACTTCATGCGGAGCAAGAGACAGAAAGGAAAGTACTTTTTATGCTACCCATTTTAGAAAGAGAACTTGATGACCAAGATTACATTTAGGGGAAGTTCAAGGGCTTATTTTTGGACCCAAACCAGGTTCAAATTTCCTACTATGCTGAACTGTTAATTAACCAGCTCTCTAGAATGATGCAATTCTCATGAGATCATGCAATTCTGATGTGTGTCAAATCTTTTTCTTGATACTTTTTGAAGGAAAAAATGTAAGAGAAATGAGGTTTTGGTTATTATATGAAAATTAGAAAGGATTTCTCTGCGGCCAAAATGAATGTTTAAAAATCCTAATACCAACAAAAAAGTTAGATTAATAGATAATTTTTGCATCTATCCAATTAAAAGTGTGTGAAAAATTCAACCACATTTAATATACAACTGTCACAACCCCAAAATTTTAGTTTTAGCAAAATGATTTCAGCAATTGCTGGTTAAAGAAACATCAATTGTTAAAACACAGATACTAAATCATGTGGTTGATTAGAAAACAAGGTACTTCACTGCATGAAAGTAATTTTTTTTGTCTGCAAATACATGCATATATAGATGTCTGCAAAAACATGCATAAAGTCATGTTTTTGCAGACATCTATCATCATGCACAGAATAGTCTGTGCATTTGCAGAAAACTGAGGATGAAAATTCTTTCTGCATTCTATGGTCCTCCTAATTTTCATACACAGGGATCACTGCCATAGGGAAAGGTGGAATAGTTCAGAGTCAAGAATCTTTGCAGGTATGTAAAGTCATAACATGTAGAAGTACAACAACTGAAAACTTCCAAATTACTAATCCTCGTTTTGAAAGGTACTACCTGCTCTTTCATATACAGAAAGAGATACCAGAGAACCACATAAGGGGAGAGCTCTATTGACAGCAGCCTGAGGGCATCAGGCTGAGGGTGAAGACCTTGCTGCACAGTGCCAGCGCCTCCAGAGACGGGCACCATGTCTTGGCCTTGTGTGCCTCTGTGTGCCACCATTCCTTTATGGCTCTTACCTTCACCACTTTCCATGCCTTCTACAAAAATGCCACCACACTGGGGCAGGATCCAGTATCGGCGCCTGTAACGGTCCTGACCAAACATCATTGAACGCAAACAGTGCGAAGCTTCAAATAACTTCTTTCTGTACTGGCTTTGTTGCTATTTAAAAAAAGGAGAGCATTACAAATCAGTGGGGGGAAAAAAAATCTCATTATTACAGAAAACACCTGTAATATGTCAGACTGAACAGAAGTTCAAGGGTCAGACAAGAAGGTCCTCTCAGATTCGGGATAGTGGTGTGTCTCTGTGTTATGATATTCTACTCACAATTGCTGCCTTGATGATTTTACTTATAAAGCTTCCTTTAAAAAAAATAAATTAAAGCATTCCCCTTCTCAGCCTAGGTTTATCGGTTGTCCTCTAAAAACATACTCCAGTGGTGCACCTGGTCTTTTTATCCCTGACTCTCAAAAAGTAGTGGATTAATTACACAGCATCAGCAAGTGGTATAAAGAGCCCTGAAGACAGATGATAATGCAACTGCTGATGGGAGACTAGTGAGATATTTTAACTGTTCGTGAAAGAATGACAACAACATAGACAAATAAACTCTGAACATAACACAGCTCTCTGAGGGAGGTCAACAAGAACTTCAGTTAGTTTATTCAGTTCTTGCTCTGCTAAATTGACACTGATGGGATCAGGTGGAATCCTGGACTGCTAATTTACTGCAATTTGGAACATGAGAGAAACCAACACACGAAGTCTTAAATGACAAATTTTCTAATAGGAACAATAAAAACATGGGCTATGAGTACCCTTAATTACAGCATTACATTTTTCTCATTTACACTTCTCTTCCTATTCTATTGCTGCTTCTTTCAAAATGGGAAGCCCAGACAGTGCTGTACGGGCTTGGAACACAACGGCAGAAATCAGCATGGAAAGGAGGGCATGAGAACAACAATCCATTGTATAACTGAAGCCATTGCTTCTCATATACAAAATTTGTCATCACTTTCTAAGATCAACAAACAGGAATATGTGAAGTAGATCTGGATAAAAATTACTTTACTCTCTGAAGTGCAAATATATTATCAACTATTAACTGCCTTTTGAGTGACCTCTACTTATTGCCACCAGACTAAATTCACAGTCCAGGTGTCATGAATCGGAGCATTATTCATACTTTTACAAAACAAGAGTAGATACTTATTTCAATTTACATTAACTTGGAGCACTGAAATTTATGTTTAATGTATTAACTCATAACACCCAGTGATCACATTTGTAGTAGAAAGAAGAGTAATGATCTCTCACCTTTGTCAATTTTTCAATTTGCTTCTCTAATTCTTCAACACTTGCTGTCTGATCCCCATCGTCCTATAATCACCAAATATACTGTCACACCGTGTTTATTTCAGGATAAAATCATACTACAATTACAGGAAAGAGACTACTATGATTACAGTAAAAAGATGTAACTGAAAACGAGAGGAAAATACTAAAGAGGAAAAAAAAAGTTCAAATTGTGTGCTTGTGCAATATATTTCAATAGCAACAACACAACTGAAAAGAGGATACACCTTGAATCTTCTGAAACCAGACGTGGACAAAGGAAAAAGCTCGTGTTTGCTGAAAACTGGAAGTAACTTGGTTTGTGCATGAACACAACACTACATAATTTAATCTTAGTTTCTATGAAGCTTTTTAGATAGTCAAAATAATTTTAAGTGTTTCTCATGCATGAAATAATGGCATCTCAAAATCATATTGGTAAGTCTTTGGCAAGTCCACATTTGCATTTTATTTCAATGTCTACATGAAATTGTATAGCCACTTTAAATTATAAGTTTCTATAAAAGTTACAGCATCAATCCTGCTGATTTTTGAAGAGGAATGCACTCAGGATTAAGTCTGTGGTTGCCTTCTTCTTGCCTGTTTAAAAATTAGAGTCTTTTCCATTACTAGAATTTTAATATAGTTGAAGAAAATCTTTGGAGATAGTAGTAGTCTTCCAAAAGAATATGGTCAAAGTCATCCCCACCATAAGATACAAGTCTTGTATTTCTTGGCTTCATAAAAGTGTACCAGAGTAAAGCCTTCTGAAGTGCTACATAGAATACAAATGCAATGAAAATTCTGGTAGATCAAAAAATTAATTTCTGTACAGTTACTGGAATTTTGTCTATGAAATGCCCAGTGCACCAACATAGGAGATTATACAAGAAGGAAAAGGATTAAGGGATGAACTTGAGATTAGAAATCTAAATATTACTCTTTTTTAAATTCTGAATTATTTTTAAGAACTTTGGGCTGTTCCTCTAAGGTATTCTCTTAAATTCATACAAATTCTAGTACTTGAAATAAATCCACAATAACAGCACGAAGGGCTAGTCCTACACTAGAAAGTAGCTGTGTTTCTAATGAAGGGTGTATGCAAACATCTGAGTTCACATATGCTGGATACATGCATTGTTCAAGCAGTCTTTAAAATCTTCTAACCTTGCATGAATGGATCATTTTCTGGCAAACAGAAAACAACCAGTGTAGCATCAAGTGCTTTAAAACGTAGTATTTTCTATTGCCTGTGCCTTGTATCAGGTTCCATCCAGTGGAAGCCTGTGCATTTCCATTAAAAACCAGCTCAACAAGGTAAAAATCTTTCATTGATACTTTCCGTATTGTATCTGACACTGACAAACAAAATTTATCATCTTGTGATCAAATAAAGTCAGCCAGTGGGGACCATGTGGGGATGGTGTGAAAAAAATGCACAAGAAGATCACTCAAGTTTCAAAATAAAGAATGTTAAATGTAACTGCATTGTTCATTTTTTAATTAACAAAATAATAAAAACTAATAAAAATTTAAAACATTGGAGGTAAGTTATTTTTCCCTCCTTTTTATGGCAATATTTTTGGGAAACAGCACCATATTACAAAAAAACAGAAGGGAAACAAGCTTTAGCTTAT